GCCGCTTTGTTTGCGGAATTTCGAGAACTAAGTCTACGCGAAATTGGAAAGCGTCAAGCGCTGGAGTCCAAGTTATACCTAGAATCTTGACGTTTTCGTCCAACTGAAGATCACGGTGACACGCTAAACCGTGGTCCTCAGACGGAATATCGGAGAGTAACTCCGCCCGATTGCTCGCCCATTTTCGCAATGTAAATCCTCCGCGAGACAGAAGCTCGCAAAGTTGTTTGCGAGCTGTTTGAATTTGCGAAATGGTGTGAGCACCGAATAGAACGTCGTCGACGTAAATATTATCCCTAAGAATCGAAACAGCAATAGGAAATGGCTCGCCTTCATCCGTTGCGAGCTGTTTAAGAACGCAGAGCGCGAGATATGGAGCGGAGACCATTCCGTACGTTACTGTATTAAGTTGGTAGTCGAGAATGTCGGCACTCTCATTAGGCCTCCAAACGATTCTTTGAAAGTCGCGATCGCGGGGATCTACCCAAATTTGTCGGTACATCTTGGCGATGTCCGCGCTGTATACGTAGCGTGGTGTACGCCAGCGAATCAGAGGACAGCCGGCAAATCTGTCTGTAGCTTCGGACCTGCATGGAGATGTGAGTTGAGAGATGTTTCGTTGGAGGTGGAACTTGAGGCGTCGAATACGACCCTTAGGCGAGTCGTGGCACTAGACGTTCGAATAACGGGATGGTGGGGGATGTAAACAGCGAGTGAATTTGTCGCGGACGTTGGCTCAACTCGCGTCATGTGGCGTAAGGACTCGTATTCGGCGAGGAAATCGGAATATTCTTTTTTGACTTCAGGGCACGAATCGAGTCTCCGTTTGAGAGAGGTCAATCGGTGCAAGGCTATCGACCTCGAGTGGCCTATCTCGATCGGAGATTTAGACTTGAATGGAAGGCGAACGGTATATCGTCCGTCTTCAGTGCGCGTGTGAGTCTGCTGAAAATGCATTTCGCATTGTTGATCGAGCGGAGAGCGCGCTGAGACACGGGGGGGCTCCTCAACCTCCCAGAATTTTCGAATCTCCCGTTCTAGAGAGCAATGAAAGGCGCGAATTTCATGACGCGTAGACGGTCGGTTTGTCGTTGGTCCCGAAATGAGCCAACCGAGATGAGACTGTTGAGCAATCGGTTGACCTTTGAGCCCCTTACGGACTCCGCTCTGTATGATCTCGCTGTAAATGTCCGCGCCGATAATAACATCGATCGGACGTGCTCCGGTAGGATTGTTATCCGCTAGGCGCAGTTTGTCCAGGTGGATCCAATCCGGAACTGCTTGTTCCCGTCGCGGAGCGTACTTAGTGAGGGATGGGAGGATAAAGGCGAGGGCCTGAAACTCCGGTTTGATTCGATCCCGTGGAGATATAAACATTGTAGTGGCATGTCGGCATATGCCGGCTGACGCTCCACCAACGGCTGAAATGGTGGTGCGAGTGGGGGTG